ACCCCGGGTTGCCAGTTATCGGAAAACACAGCGTATTTGCAGCCATGGAAGCCATCAACTAACTAGGTCAGAGATCGCAGATTCTACCCGACCTAAAAAAGCCTCGGCATCCATCTAAAAATCTCTATGAACGGGAGCATATTAAAACACGGATAAATCAACTCATCAACTTACAAGTGTATATCTCCAGAGAATGTCTAATTGAAGAGAATTGGCACTGTCTGGTTACTTCCGGTTTCTGGACTGGCTGCAGTAACACGTCTCTGTCCATGTGGGGGCGCTCGCAGGCGAGTGCAGAATGAATGGGAGTCTATGGGGTTTCACCCCCAGAAATCCACTTTTCTCAGGATGTAATTTTTTGTCAAGCAATTTGAAAGTTGCATTCAAAAGGGAGGGCTAAGATAATACACTCAGCTGAAAATTGCATTTTTAAGTTCACTTATCTGTTCTAAAAATCCGTCCAAAAATGTGATGACGTCACATAATAGCAGAATGCTAGCGTGTTCTGGCCAACAACGGCCTAACCTGTAAGAAATCGAAAGGACATAAGTACTCGTTCATTCGACTTTTGGCCTATAATCTATATTGAACTTGCGTAATCAACAATAAAATCTATGTTTATTCAACGACAAGCAGGAGAAAGAGATACATTTAGCCGTTTAGCTCCATAGACTCATTCATTCTGCACTCGCCCGCGATCACCTCCAGTGGAATTCTAATGGAACTGCAACCAAGATGATACACAATGGGGCTAATAGGAAGTACCAAGGCTCTCCGTTAGACAGGCTCTGGTATCTCCTCGCCTTCCATTGTCAATTGTGCTCGCTCCTGTTGCTTGTCCTCAATTTGGAAACCCGCGCGAGCGTTGAGTCTGAGGAGCTGGGGGCAGGGGAAACAACTCTCAAATATTTTGAATTTGAACTGCAGTCCCTATTTCAAACCGCTTGCTGTCAATCTTACATACTGCACCTTTAAGAACAAATTCATGTGCGTAGCGGATATTTTTTGTGAGAATTTCCCCTGTGCGCAAAATTACAAAATAATCGACGTAATCATTAGTAAATGAGACCCAATGTTATTCCGCAAAACACATGCAGTTTAATTTTCAAAACTTACATATTGTAGCTTTGATGATCAAATCATAAGGGAAACCTTCAGAAACGTTGCACTGAGAAGCCAAAGCAATTAGATGATTCAGTCCTATAATAAGTCATAGCTTCCATCCATGATGTAAAATATTATGCATCATAATAATGATTCAACAACTTATGGGGTCTGTGGCACAAAGCCCAGACTCTGTGTTTGATGGACAGGAATAAAATGGTAAGGTAATGGGAGGGAAAGCTTATGCCATCAAAAAGTGCAGGGAACAGCTTCAGTGTCAGCAGCATTCTTTAGCAAAATCAGGTCTTTCATCCCTATATATCACCTCCTTCCACAGCTCTCTTCTCTTTAAAACACCAACAGTCTCTGTAAAGAATGGAACGTGGAGATAGGGTGCTAGTTTTATCCCTCTAAAATATTGAAGCAGAATTGATTCCCGTTTTGCGCGGTGGGTTTTCCGCACATCATCAATAGCTGTAAACGTTGCGCTTTGCAGATTACGACGTGACCTCCACGTGCAGCTCAAACTAAAGCGAAGTACACATACAGTATCTCAGTCATTTCTTAACTCCCTTATTCCTTTAGATGTCTTCACTGGGTATCTGCTGAAATGGGAACAAAGTGTTCCACAAGGCCATATATTTTTATTCCAAGAAAGGTTTCACTGTCTTAACTACATTCATTTATTCCAACATCAGCGTGCAGACTCTCAATTACATTCAAAAGCCCCCTTGTAAAGATTTACCGTAGCTCAGGTAACGGCATCACTGATTAGGTGTGTGTGTGTGTACGTGCAATCTTTAATCACTTGCTTCCCACTGGGCAATTACACAGCACATGACTGTAAAACAAACAAACGCAGCCTGTTAGCCGTAAGCATTTACACAAGAACAAAAGGCTGTGTGCAGAAGGAACATGCACATCACTGCTGCAATTCAGGGCTTGTGGTGTATGATTGACAGCGGTTCCTTTTTAAGTGGAAGACAGTCATCATTGACAATGTCAAAGCTACAGTCTGTTGCTAGGCACAGTCACTATGTGCTGTATGACATGTTACTATACTTAGACATTACATAATAAAGCAAAGAAGTGAAGTAAAAGAGAAGAGAAGCAAAATAAAGAGTCATTAACACAGTCTGGTTTTATTTACAGTCATTTTTTAAAAGAAACAGAAATAGAAAAGGCCTATCTAATCAAAACTCAGCACTGAATCCAATGAAAACAACCTGGAAAACGGCTTAAAGCTTCTAGTGTCATTTGTTTTAGAATATCATAATGGACCATTTAATTAACGAGAATGGTTGAGCTACTCTTACACAGTATATCGTCAAATAAAAGCTATATTTTTGAATTCGTTCGAACCACTTCACAAAGAATTTAAACTAGTTTCTAAATCCATATTTTTTATTTACAGTTTTGGTTAGAGCATTGTCGTTGTGACATCACATACACTTCTGGGTAGAAGCATCATGCAAGATTTTTTTGGAGGATATTCATTTTCAATCAGGTTTCTTTCAGCTCAGTAATTATGATAGTCAAATTGAATATTTAGTATCGTCAAGTCTTGTTTTACATGTATTAATGCAGGGTAAATCTCACATAAGTTTAGACTGTGCCTTGCAAGTATATATTTTTTATTTGCTTTAACTTTGCCCTGTTTATTCATTATAATATAGTCTAATCAAGCACCATGTTGAATCAGGATGTATTTACAGATGTCTTAAAAATCACTCGTACAGCAGCCAGACTGATGCAAGATGCTAATCTTTGAGTAGTTTAGGCAACCACAATCCTCCAAACAACAAAAGTTATAAGGGCGAATCTCTTGAAAACATGTCCAGGTCACATTTCACCCCAAAATCCCCAAAAATAAAATAAAAAATGTTCCTAAAAACACTTAATTATATTTAGAAGTATGTGTATACATCATTACTCCAGTTTTCATTGTCACACGATCCCTCAGAAATATTTCTAATTATGCTGCCTGATTTATTATCAATGTTGGAAACAGTCTTGCTGCTTAATTTTTTTTTATAACCTGTGATACTTTTTTTTCAGGATTCTTTGATGAATACAAATAAATTAATACTTTTATTCGGCAAGGATATGTCAAATTGATAAAAAAGTGATAGAAAATATTTATATTTTGAATAAATGCTGTTCTTTTGAATTTTTTATTCATCAATGAATCCTGAAACAAGTATCACAGGTTCCAAAAAAAAATTAAGCAGCACAACTGTTTCCAACATTGATGATAACTGTATCAAATCAGCTTATTAGAATGATTTTTGAAGGATCATGTGACACTGAAGACTGGAGTAATGGCCGATGAAAATTCAGCTTTGCATCACAGAAATAATTATATTTTAGAGTATATTAAAATAGAAAACCATTATTTTAAACTGTAATAATATTTCACAATATTGTCTTGATGAGCATAAGAGACTTCTTTCAAAAACATAAAACATAGTAATGTTTCCAAACTTTTGACGGGTACTGTAATAATCTTTGTGCATTAGTAATATAATAAATAATAATATCATTTATGATAAATTAATTCCACATATTAATACAAATAAAATAAAATCTTGTTTTTTATACAGCAAAATATATTCTCTCTATATTTTGATTTTGGGGATGAAATTTAACCTAAATGTATCTGAAAGGTTTTGTGAGATATACCCATACAGGTTTCCTTTCCTAATGTCATCATTCTTATTGAATCGCATTACCCATTCAAACGTCACTCCATATTGAGTCGGATGCACAAAGACTACAGGGAATTATTTGCCAGTGAGTGGTGCGGCTAAAATATCTTTATTAATTATCAAAGCCACTTAGCTTTGCCAGTGCAGTCCACAAGGGGTTTGATTAAACACAGTTCAGTCAGACCCTCTGTTTATGTCCAGCCGTTCTGGGTGAGAGCAGATTGCCATTTATTGGAATGTTCACAGGATGTCATTTCAGGCACTTTCTCTACACCAAACCACATATATATATATATATCAACCCCACACAGTTACTAGAATCAGTTCAAGGGAAAAGATAATATACAGTGGAGAAATGCGTATTTCATCATCCATTATCTGTTAAGGGAGGGGAAAATGCGTTATTCAGCTGTGTTTGGCATGGTAGTTTGACCGAAATGAAGACATTTCACGCTTTCACGCATCATACAAGAGCTACAATATGTGCAGTATTTTAGGCGACTGAAAGTGCAGCACAAAAAGAAACTCGTTCCTTGATATTCATTCAGGAAGCAGGTTACAAAACAAGCCATACAGCGCAGCTAAATCCAGGGGAAACCTCTCACTTAAGAGTTGGGGAACAATTGTCTTAAGAAATTATTTAGAGACTCGATATTCTTGGGTTCCTGCTACTACACAAAACAAAAACCTTTTAACCCAAGTAGACTCCTTCCACACACCTCCTCGTACATCACATCACTAGAAATACTGCATCTCTATCCCTACCCCCCCTCAATATGTACAAGTATATCGAAAAAGAAAGGCCCACTTACACGGCATAACAAATTATTAGTCTACTAGAAAAGAGTGAACACTGGCACACATGTTAAAAAAAGGCTTAAAATAGAAAGAAGTTACAATTGGTTTTCTATCCGTTATCTTGTTAACAAGACTCAACACCGTCTTAAAAAACAACAATATTCACAAGTAACCTTTCGGAGTAAGGACAGTCGCTCTAGGCCAACTGTTACCCCTTCCGAGGTCGGCCTAATATGTCTAGCTGAAAGATATTAAATACGCAACAGATTTTAACACCTCATGCAAACAAATACGGCTGAATCCCATGGTGACGTCGAACCGATAAATTCATAGGTCTTTTTTTAGCTCCAAAAAAATATGAATCTCTTAGCAGCTACTGATTTGTTTTGTTTTTTTTGTCTTCGTTTTTTTCTTAACTGTTCTTGGCACTTTCAAGACGAGTACATCCAGGAGAGAGAAGAAAAACTACTTGGGTTGCAATTAAACACCGAAGGTAATCCCAATGCTTGGAATAACCCGTTGTAAACAACCGGAATAACGACTCTCCACTCCATTTACTATTTGAAAGACTGTAGGACTAGATAACTAATATACTGACTGGTTAATGAACATTCTTTAAGGGTGGATGGATGGATGGATGGATGGATGGATTCCGTGAAAGTCAGTCGGACACACTGACACTATATCCGTTCGGTCCATTGCACGATTCCAAGTCTTTCTTATTGCAGATCTGTCCGCAGACATCGATGCAATCTGTTCCTCTGTTTTGCACTGCTAATGGCCGAGAGACGAGAGTCTGCTGAGGGGGTTCGGCCACACGAGGGCTCTCTCGAGCTCTGGAGGAGGAAGGGCTGGGCGTAGACAAAGAAAATCCACTCGGTTGCTCGAGTCTTTGAGGTTAAAGCGTCGGTTCCGTGTTCCTCCGACAGTCCGTAAGACACTATCATGTTAAGACATTTACGTAGAAAGACAAGTTCAAACATCAGTTCATCATTTTGACTGGCTGATAAGGCAGTTATCCTTTTACTTTGACCTGTGAGAGAAGAAAACAAGACTGTTAAAGACTGTTCTAAACAGCATAAGAAATAATGAAATACAGCGCATGTATATTAAATTGACTGCTTGATTAAGGTCAGCTGGGTGAAACAAAGCATTTTTGTGTATACAAACTATTTGGGCACTTAAACAACATTAAAAATGTATGAATGACACTTCATTTGCTATTAACATAACACAGCACATGATTTTGAGTGGCAATTTCATTGTGCAGTTTGTGTTTAGCATGCAAACGGACCCGGGTTCAAAATCAAATCCCATCGTAATATGATTTTTTTGAGAATTGGACAGAACTGAATTTGACAGAAAATGATCATTATGCATTCATTTAGGAAACAGACCATCTTTGATATTTTTGATATTTTGAGTGGTGTTGCAAGTCTTGACTAGACTGACCAGATTTCGACATGAATGGGTGATTTCTGCCACGGCGTATTAGACAAACACTTCTTTATACACAAAATGTGTGCAACTTCATTTATTAATCAAAGCTACATTTGAAATAGGCCTACAATATTTTTTGGAAAAGTGCTCCCTCAGAATGGGAATGATGCCTCTGAACACAATCACATCAATTCAAAACACTGGATACAGTATTAAATAAAGACAAAAAATGGACACTTTCAGGTTGTCAAAATTAGTGGAAGATGTGATGTGTATGTGGTTTTACCTCAAGCATAATTTGTTTGCAGATGACACTTAATTTTATACTTTGAATCTAAGGCAGTGAAGTTCATACATTAAAGTGCCCCTTTTATGCTTTTTGGATATTACCTTTCATGTTGTGTGTAATATCAAAGATCAAAGTGCACGATAAACTGAGTTATTGTCTCCTAAAAGAAAGAACCAATTCTGAATTGAATGAAATGAGTTGTCAGTAATTCCTGTCTTACTTCCTGCAAAAACCTATGTAGGTTTAGTTTGTAACAAATTTGCATAATGCCAGCCTATGTTCTTCATTGGCTGCCTTCGAACAACGTCTACTATGACCCTCAAACACTGTAGTTGTAGCTGAGGCCTGGAAGAGTTTGGTTTGTGTAGTCGACATGACGAAAAGTTTTCTGTTTTCTGTGCTGTGAAAGCAAATTCATTTCACGTGAACTTCTAAAGGATGAGGACTCGGGCTCAAATTCATACAGTAAAACCAACACCATTGTTACTGTTCGTATCACTTTGTTTACAAGCGCTGAGGAAGGCTCAGGAGCTATAATTCAGATATGGTAATGGGTGTTTTGTTTCCGACACACGCTGCAAGCAGTAGACCAATCACAACAGACTAGGCCATCTGCCCAATCAGGGCAGAGTATGCTCTCGGGAAGGAGGAGAGAGACGAATCCTTTATCAAACCGTTTCAGACACTGTGAGAAAACAGGTGAACCTGCAAATATATTATGAGAAAATTAAAGTGTTTTTTTTTTTACCATGGATGCATCTAAACCTATTGTAGGAGACCTTGAAAACAAAATCAGGAACCTTTACAATAGCATAATAGGTTAGATCTGTGTGTTTAAGTCTCCAAGTACGTTTTAGAGCCACTGTAGGCCTTTTTGTGTTTTTTTTTTTTTGCATTGTGTTAAAGGAATTCCTTTTTCTCATCATGTCGTCTTGCCCTTCTAACTAATTATTAGCTGTGACCTTTTCCACTTTTCATTATTCTATTCTTCTCCACACTGAATCTCAAAATGCACTAAACAACACACACGCACATGCTTTCACAGGAGCACACGTAGAAAAACCTCCTCCCTGAAATTTTAAAATATGGCATCTGCTTATGGATGGACCTGCCATTCAAAGCACTCCAATGCATTATGGAAAAGTGAGAGTCTGACATTTACAAAGGAAAGAGACTCATGACGTGACATAATGATTAAGTCAGCCGGCCATGTAATAAATACAAAACATTGGCTGAAAGTGAATATTCAGTGCATTTTCAACAAGACACTTTCACCAAATAAGACTAGGGGAGCACCCGTGGGTACAGAGGGGGTGCGGCTTTTTAAGAGAATAATTATTTTTCTCTGTAGTCTTTCTCTGGATTCTGTGTAATCCTCATTAATCCCAATTTTACAGCATCTGTTCCCAGAAGACAAGGACGGAGTTGCATAAAGCATTGTTACTCGTCACTGATCTCAAAGCCCATGTAATTGCACCTTTCTGCTGTATACAGTGGTGGCAGAAAATGAAAATGCATGGAATAATGAAGCAGCACCCAAAAATATTTAATAATAAAAATTAATTTCAATAATAATAATAACAAATGTATTCCGCTTATCAATTACTTTAGTAACACTTAACAATAAAGTTTTATTCGTTAACATTATTTAATGCATTAACATGAACAGTTATTTTAAATTGCAATAATATTTCACAATATTACAGTTTTTACTGTATTTTTGATCAAATAAATGAGGCCTTGGTGATTTCTTTCAAAAAATCTTTTGAACAATATGTGGATATAACGTGTTATCGTAACATGATTTTTCTGAATTATTTCTTCACAAGCTTCCACAAGGGAAACCTTAATGTAAATTCTCTAGGGACAAACTAGAAGTCTGTATTATTGGTAAATCAACTCAGTCTCTTGCGTTTCTGATCGCATATCACTGGCAGGATTCCATTCAGCTTTTTTCCCTGTGTCTAGACTGTGGCGCTGGGCAGCTCAGCTGAGCCCTGCCTTCCCTAGAGGATGGCGGGGAATGTTCCGGCTGGTATTTTGCCGTCAGTGTCACTTGTGTGCCAAAACTAGTGACAGGCACATTTGGATCCCCGCCATATGTTTTCACATCAGTTGGGCTGATGTCACCCACAGGCCAAAGACAACTTTAGATGATGCCATAGGGTGAACTAAAGTTGAAGTTTACATATATATTATTTCAGTTAACGTTTATTTTATTTCAAGTTACATATATGGTATTAAGGGCTGTTTACACGCCACCATTTTCAATTTTTTTTTAAAAAAAAATCATGCATTTTTCTGCACATTTAAGCGGCCTGAAAATCGGGTTTTAGAAAACGATACCGTTATCGCCTCCATGTAAACTACAAAAATGCTAAATTTGTGAAAACTAATGTGATAAAAACTAAAACGGAAAAAAAAGAGCATTCGTATTACGTGTTCAGTCTATAGGCGCGTAGTTTCTTTACAAAGTGACATCGCCATCTACTGGCCTGGCAGCAGAATACAGCCATTTTAGTCGTTTTCGTGGATCCTTGTGAATGGGGATTGTTTTGACAACGTTATCGCCTGTATGAGAAAAAAGCAAAGGGAAAACGTTTCCATTTTTCGTACATTGTTGTCGTGTAAACATACCCTTAAGTTTTAGTTAACTATAGTATAACCTTGGCTAAAGATGAAGGGTCTCATCTCAAATCCCAAATACACCCCCATCTTCCATTAATTGGACAAACTGATAGTCACGCCACAAACTCACGTCATTGGTTGTTCCTGTGTTGCTATGCTGGCTTGTTTAATGTTTTGATAGTGCCTATATTTACATGTGTGAGGAAATAAACCTATTAATGGCTTACTTATAGCTTTCTATCCACATTAAAGACATTTACTGTCTTTAAGAGTATTTTTTTTTTTTTTTTTGCGAATGGGTGGCAGACTAGAATATAAATCAGATCTGTTGCATAGTTTTGATCCATTTCCCTAATTTTCAGTGACTCCTCCAAACCCTCCTTTAGATCGGGTTGGTCTTCCATCAAAGAGCCGTCTCTATATAGATAACAAGCCTAAGCTTTGATCGCATTGCTGTCTCACCTCCTGGCATAATGGAGTGCATTGTGGACATAAAGGCTGACTCTATAGAACACAATCACCAATAGATCAGTGTCAATAAGCCAAATCCTCTTAAATCTCCCAACGATCACCCAGTCCCACCTCTGAGCATTCAACTACTTCCTCATAAACATTTAAGCTGCCAACAGAGACTAAGCAAACAGATCACCTCCCCTAATATTGACCTAAGCTATTGTCCCAGCCAGACTGACAATGATATTATTTCTTAGAGATGTTATGCTAGAGATACTCCTAAGGGTTTTGTTTTGCTCCATGCTCTGTCACGAACCACCTCTCATAAAACCACTTGGTGGAATGCCCAGCATGTCCAACAGAGAGTGTTGTGAACCCAGACTCAAACACATGAGAGCACAAGAGTCTACAGACACTGGCTGTCATACAAAACGGTTGGGTCCTTATACATAACTTACATTTTGCTGTGGTATTCTAATCTGTAAAAGTTATTCAAAAAAAAAAAAAAAAGTCTTGTCCAGTAACATAAGAAATAAAATTAGGATTTATTTATTCGACAAAATCATGTTTTTTTTCAATAACATGATATACACTTTTGATTGTTTTATTTGACGCAGACAGACAGACAGATAGATAGATAGATAGATAGATAGATAGATAGATAGATAGATAGATAGATAGATAGATAGATAGATAGATAGATAGATAGATAGATAGATAGATAGTTAGTTGCGATAGGGAAACAGGAATTGCCTTGCCAAGTTTCTGTATTTATGAGCAGTTGCAGAGAGCTGATGAAAAAAACCCAGCATAAATCAACACGATCACACTAAATGCGTCTCTATAGCACGCAGTGTGTTTATCGTGCAATTTATACGCGAAAATTAGTTTTTACGTGCATAGGATACGCATGGGTTGGTTAGGGTAGGTTTAGTAGTGGTGTGGGGTGCGTGTGTTATACGTTTGGGTAGAATTAGTGGTGTGGGGTGCGTGTGTATTACACGCAAATGAACTGCGTATCAAATGCACGCGAAAACTGCGTATCATATGCACGTAAAAACTCATTTTTGCGTATAATTTGCACGATAAAACACAATGCGTGCTATAGAGACGCATTTACGTGAGAACAGGCTGGATAAAACACTGCCAAGACTGTACAAGACAATGTCGTGTGCAAAAAATGAGGTTCGCTTTGATTTAAAACCATTTGTGGTAGTGATACTTACATGTACATTGGTTGTAGTTGCAAATGCGATGTCTTCTGTGGCCCTTGGTAACCGTATGAATCAAACCCTCCTATAAAGTCAACTAAAGAAAAGAGAGAGAGAAAGTAAGAGGAAAATGGGGAAAAAAACAAGAGGATTATTGAATGCTTTTTAGGGTTGTCATTCATTACAATAAGCACCTTTTGGTTTTGTATCCCGTGTGTGTCAGTGTGATAATCATGTGTAGTGGATGAACAGCGAGCGGACCCTCTATGAGACTGATATCTTTGGAGGCCGGATTGTGGCACGCTGCCGGTCAGATATGATAGGCTAACATAAGGCAAGCTGACAGGATTAGCCCGCCGGCCCCTCTGTGAGGGCCCACCAGCTGTTTCAGGCCCTGGCAGACCCGAGTATCTGGGCTTTCCACAAAGATGCAAAGGTAATAAAGTGTGTGATAAAGATCCAGGCTTTGGAAATCCAAGGCTGTTTCCTAGACTAACGAGCACAGGAGATAAGCTGTGGAATTAGCAGAGAGCTTCTCTCGTGCATCCCAAACAGAAGGAGAGGGGAAGACTGAAATGATTATCATTCTGATGATAGATTTTAGGGGGCATATACCTACAAATCCCCTAATCCACGTAGGTCTCATTGTTGAATTAGACCTTTGTCCCGATCAGTGTTATCTGGGGACCCGCAGAGGTCAGTCTGAAAGCCTGAGCCTGTGGTGTTACAGGGCTTGAATTTTGGCGTGGGATTGCCCGTTTTGTGCATCATTTTACACATTCCTGCAGATTTTGTGCTCACACCCAATGTGCGCGCACATAAAGCCGCCTCTCAGAACTAAATTTAGTTATTTTCACTGCTTATTGCGCTTAAACAATCAAATACACACAAAATAATGTCAAAATGCCGGTGCTGGCGAGTATTCGCATAAACACAGTGTGAATGTAGGAAAAGATAACGCATGTGTAACAGTGTAATGGGTCCATGCGTCAGGTCTTAAAGTGACAGCAGCCTAATATACCTTATGAGATAATATTAAACATAGGCCTATATAGCAGTTTTCCCCATGGTTTCGATGCCAAATGTGTGACGTCACAAATCCCACAATATCCAAAGGAGACGTTTTTGTGACTTGATTAAATAAATGCTTTGATTATGATGAGGAGTCTGTTTTAAGCCATGAAACTTGCAAGATGTTTTAATGGTACAAAGACCTCTTTATATGTCAAACGATCAAGGCACATTCGATTTTATCATGTCATGACCCCTTTAAAATGTAAATTACAGCTGTGATGGCAAAGTTGCCATTACTCCAGTCTTCAGTGTGACTTTTGATCAATCTAATGCATTGTTGCTGGATAAATATATTAATTTCTGTAACATCTTACTGACCCCAAACTTTGAAATGCTAGGGCGTATAAAAAAAAAAAAACACAAAGTAACATTTAAAATGGAAAACACTGATCATATCAAAAAGAAAATTAAGCTACGCTGCACTTCAGAACATTCTCATCTAAATGTCCTTTATAAATATATCTGCAGGGGGTAAATGTTAAAATAGATTGCCTTGAGGCAGATATGTGCTCTTAAACAGCTTTTTAAAACATTTCCCCTTCCCAATGGAACAAATATCTCAAGTTGTTTTACTGCTGAAATTCCTCCTAGCTAGTCCCGCCAAGATAATGGGAAATGCTGGGATCACTGATCCAGTAATGAAGTAAAAAAAACAAAAACAACATACAAGTACTGTCAACTGTGGGCAAGCGGACAGATCGAGGGTCTATGGGCCGCCTTGAGCTACAGCATTAGCATTCAAAGACATACAACAACCATCTCTCGACCCCAACAAAATAACTCAAATAGCTATTTATTCTGCTTTAAGCGACACATCCCAGAAAGGAGCCATTTCAGTGGCACCGGCGCTGCAGGGAATTAGGCTGAGATGGACGTTTTCTCCTCACAGACTCCATATAGCAAAGCTTTACGAGTTTTATTGTTTTGGCTTCGCCCTTCCAAAAGCTTTTCCTCCGACAAAGGCATTTGTAAACTGCACGCGGCGCACAAAGACTATCAGCATGAGTTCCCACCTCCCTGCAACCACAAAGCCTGATTGCATATCCCCAAAAGGAAAGCCCTAACCTAATTTCCTTGTTATAGATGCAAAAAGTGTTTCTCCACAACTTGTGCGCACTGACACTTCCTAATTCTCTCGCTCTTGTTTTTTCGTTCTCTCAGAGGCAGACTCATTTAAATACTGTCCTTTCTTTAAATGGGCCCTGGGACGCTACCCTTGATAGTAGCTGTAATTACGTGCGGACCGTGTTGATTGGTTTGAGCTGTTCATTACCTTTGCGGAGGTGCTTCATGTACTATATTAATTAAAGCCGTAATGGCCAATATGGCTTCCTGATTAGTGTTTCTACATGCCTCAGGGACCAAGCCATCAATATCATTCACCTGCTTGGAGGATTCAGAGCTTCAACAATTATATTCCTCTGTAGAATCTTCCTATGAACATCAACAAAGCTGATAAACTCTCAGTGGACACTAAAATTGCCATGCAGCCGCATGTCTTTCATCACAAGCGCTCCGCCAGTCACTCAAACTGCTACCCATGGACTGATTGGGAGACTTTCAAGAAGGATTTCCAATTACACAGATGTTCTAGAATCTCTCCTGATCACTGATTGAGGCAATCAGGAACCTCATTGGACACCGGGAGCGCTGCTGAATTAAGTTTGAGGAAGTTAACCGAACAGAGTAGCGGCAGAAGTTTTTGCGATGCAAAGCTTATAGCTCATTTGACTAATCTAATGCCAATAAACCGGTTTATGTGAGAGGATGAAATTATTTAGTTTTTGCACACATTGCTTAATTGGAGAGTTTTATTCATAAGGTATTCTGAATAAGGCTGTTGCACATAATCTGCACATTTCTAGGGATTCAGATTTAAGATGCTTTTCTTCACCATAGGAAGTAGATTAAATGTTTAGCCAAAATATTAAGTAGTTCACCCAAAAAAAGAAAATTCTGTCAAAGTCATTTGTGTGAGGAACAAACCAAAAGTCATTATTTGTTATTCATGCCCCATGCCAACATAGGCTAATGGCGTTTGGAATTGTTAATTTGGAACAAAATGAGGGTGAGTAACAAGTAGTGAAATCCTATATATATACAATTCCAAAATAATATATAAAGGGGTTGCACAGACTAGTTCACTTTAAAACTCTGCCAGGACGCTTTAAGCTTGACATCGACTAGTCATCATTGTCCCGCATTCTCATTGGCTTGCTGGCATATGGGGGATTTCATGCACAAGGAAAGCTGCAAAGGGAATCCCTTTTAATCCTTTATTTCCTTTATTATTATTATTATTATTTATTAAATAATAAATCATATATATATTCTTTAATGTTGTAATCAAATAAATCAAATGAATTCAGCCTTAGTGAGCATAAGAGTCTTCTTTCAAAAGCATACATTTTTAAATGCATTCAAAAGCATTAAAAAATAATATATATAATGGATCACGCTCTGGCTTGGACCAACATCCCAATGAACTCATGCATAAAACTCAAATACACACAAATATCCTGGTCTGGACTAATAGACCATCATGCTACACTGGATGTATTCTGCCACAGGGCTCCCTCTTCGTGATCTTAACGTGTAGTGAAGGCACTCCGTTTAATGAGAGGCTGGCCCTCCAAATACGGCCATGCTTAATTACATACAGAGTGAAGTTTAATGATTCTGATTACTCTGATTATGAAATGATAAAATGCATTGAAAATACAGAACAAAGAAGGAGGATGCCTAACAAATAAACAGCCACACACACACTTTTACATGCATCTCTTTCTGTTTTAGTTGCTTGGTGATGAGAGAATGATGAGGGAAAATAAAGATTGCCTCTGCAAGAGAACAACAGTATTGATCTTGTATGCCAGTGTTAGGATGCATATGCTTTGTTATTGTAGCTATATTCCTCAAAAGGCTCTCCCAAGAAAAAGTTGCAAGCATCTGAAGGCAAAACACAGTAAATGAATAGAGTTTCTTTATTCTGTGGAACACAAATGGGGAAATGTTGAACAACGTGGAGCCCACTGTTTTCAATATAATGAAAGTGAAACAACAAAAAAAGCACCATAAAAGTATCATAATCAAAAGTGGTGCATATTCCAAGTCTAATGAAGGTATATGATTTTCATTCTCTTTTTTTGTGTTCCAAAGTAAGAAAGTCATAGGTTTAGATACATGCGAGTAAGTAAATGACCAGAATTTTTGGGTGAACTATTCCTTATACATATATTAGGGGTATAAGGGGTATTATCAATCAGTCCATTGTGATTATTATGCTTTAAAATCTTTTATCAGGACAGTAAGGCGATTAAAGAGAATGATCCATGTGTCTCACTCAGAGTGGTAGTGGCTGCAGTGGTGCTAAGTGTGGTCGTCTGAACATTACAACGGGAACAATTTTATCCTTGCTTTAAAACACTAGGCCACAGGCCGGTCGTTTAGGATCAATAAAAGCAATCTTTTAGATTCTGGAACATCTAAATTCAACTGTTTACTGGGGCATTCAAACTAGGCTAAAGATCTGTCACCAAGAGCAGGAAACGAATATCCCCCCACAATGCTAAAGCATAAAGTGCATGCTCCATATCTGTGAATATAAAAATCTGATAGTGTGATCCTGTTTGGTTTATATATATATATATATATATGTGTGACCATGGACCACAAAACCAGTCACATGGATTTTTTTTTTTTAATTGAGATGTATACATCAGCCGAATGAATAAGCTTTCCATTGATGTATGGTTTGTTAGGATAGGACAATATTTGGCCAAGATACACCTATTTGAAAATCTGGAATTTGAGGATGCAAAAAAAAATCGATATATTGAGAAAATCACCTTTAAAGTTGTTCATTTATGTTTGCGATTGTGTTGCATTCACTCACAAAAATAAATGTTTTATATTTACGGTGGACATTTATAAAATATCTTCATGGAACATGGAACTAAACAACCTAATGATTTTTGTCATAAAAGAAAAATCGACTTGTGACCGGTTTTGTGATCCAGGGTCACACATATATAATATTTATAATATTTAAATAATTCTAAGGAGGCTGTACTGTACCAACTAGGGGACTAAATGGCTATGTGTAAAACAAACTGTCATTTGCACCACTGTCTGTTCAAAATAAATGAAAAGAAACCTAGCATTGGGTATTGGTTGCTTTTTCCTGTTGTACTGAACTCGTATCGAACTGTGACCCCAAAACCGAGGTACGTACCGAACCAAGACTTCTGTGTACCGTTACACCCCTAGTATATATATACATATATATATATATATATATACATACACATACAAACAATGTTATTTTAGATCTCATATTAGAAGCATGCATTATCTATTTGAGTGTAAAACCCTCATTAAAAGATTAACAAAAACACACTCATGACTCAGTTATGAAGATATACTCACAGCTGTCCTCCTCTTCTGAAATGAGCTTCACAACATAACAGGCATAGATGAACCCAGCAAGCTGTGAAGAGAACAGAAAACAACTCTGATTAGAATAATCAGCCGCACTAATCAATTTGCCTATATTAAGGTTAAGAGTAGGGCACCAAATGGAACTGGAATAATAATCTTTCCCAAACAGGTTTCCCAAACGTTCCCAGCACTACTCTTGTAAGTTGACGTTGGATCAAAAAATAAAACAAAACAATTGAAGAAAACTAGAGGATCTTTTCAAGTGTAAGTACAACAAGAAAGTATTTCCCTATTCTAAAAACAAAGTTTTATCTACAAACATTTAAAATGTAAAATTTTCTCTATCAAGAAACCGACCAAAATGATCGAGGAATCCAATAGAACACTCTTTAGAATGACAATGTCCCTCCCCCAAATCATGATTTTACTTTGACAAAAAACCCAACTTCCTCTTTCAACATAAAATACATCAACAAAGGAAATAAAACTGTTTGGCAAACCATTTCATGAGGTAATTATACCAGAATAAGAAAACAAACCATCATGGAAGACCATTAGTTCATTCGGTTAATTAGAGCTATAAAGAAAAAATAAATTAACAGTAGATAAAACATGTTCATGTTTTGGTCAAATGAGAGAGAGTCTGTAATAAAACCAGGAGAGAATGAAGAGATGAAAGATAAAGGGAGGTAGGCATATTTTCATTGATGAAACAGGTGTTGTACCGGCGAGAGGTTCACATCAAACTGAGACACCGCCACAGGAAATGGGTCTTTAGAGCTATGAGGACAGAGAGAAGCAGAAATGCTGGAGCCTCATCGTCTCTGTCGCTCCAAAACACAGCACTTCTGAATCCTACAAGCACACGGATGCACAAAGCTCCCATTTTCCTGGCTCTGAATCACTCATCAGCATCCGTGTTTAATGAAAAAGACGGTCGGTGGCACACTTGGGACTTGAACAGTGCAAGAGGTATAAATGTGAAATGATGATGAAAAGATCGTACGAGAATATCGAGTACTGTAAACACATTTACTGGACAAACAAAAGGCTTGGATTAGAGCAGACTCTTTAAAAAGCTCAGGGAGCACAGCTGTGCTTTTTATAAACCCTCTTCATCAGAGAGCCCTGTTGTTGTGTGTTAAACCCGTGATTTTATAGAACTGGACTGATTTGATGTCTCTGATCGAATCAAGAGAAATGATAGAGTGGGACAGCTTGAAGTCCATTCGTCTGCACCGCAAAATCAAGGTCTACAAGATCAGCACAAACACAAAGTTTACTTCATTTGACTTACTTGAGTTTATTCCAAGTAATGATGTGACCAGTCGGCTGTTAAATTTGACCTACACTTGATGTTACTTTTCAAATTATTTAATAACAAAAACCTTTCAGTTCCGTATGTGAGATGAAAAAGGTACAAATAAAGGCGTATAAACGTTGGATGAGTTATTTTAGTATGTGCTGAGCCTGTTGGGTATAGTGTAGTTCTAGAAAGTGCATCATGAGTCAGTCATATACAGAGCACCATATAGTCCTTGGCCTCAGAATTTTAAAAGCACTTAAATACTGAAAAGAACACTAACAAATAAATAAATCTTAGTGCTTCAGTAAAATCCAGTTGAATTCATTATTTATAGTGAATAATGATTTAAAACATATTATACTAATGAATATTGATATTCATATCAGCAAATTCAGAATTTTCAGCGAATCATTATTCCAGTCTTCAGTGTCACATGATTCTTCAGAAATCTTCTGCTCAAGAAACATCTTTATATTATTATCAATGTTGAAAAAACGACTAGCAAAAAAAAAAAAAAAAAAAACAACCTTTTTAAAACCAATCAAAGCACTTTCACTATGGACAAGAGAGACACGTAAATGGTAAGAAAAAGTAACACAAAATAACCTTTTATGAGTAACCCAACATGTTATATTTAAAAGTAATATTCCTCAACACTGCCCACAGTTGTGCTTAGAGTAAATGTACTTTGACATACTCCTAAAAAGGCCACCCAGACTTGAGTTTATAATTAAGAGGCTGAGCGCCATTTGCTTTTCTACGAGATACAAACTCGTGTCCCCTCAGGGGATGCTCTAGAATGCAGCCGTGTTTACAAGAGTGTTTAAGTAACGTCATTTCTTATCATTTGAGCAGTTCATTTAACTAAACTCACAGAACAAACTGTCCAGGACTGCATTCCCGGTCCAATCCCTCCAGATAATCACAGTGCGGCAGCAAATGGGAGGATTTAGGATTCCGAGAATACCTCAAGGTCTTGCTCTCATTTACACGGAATAATGTACCACTCCCTCCTCCTTCCCAGCGGCAGTGGAGAGCATGAGGCCGCACTCACACACATGCAATCCGTACCCAGACAGGGTCATTTACATAATACCGCACAGCTATGTGAAGGACAAGGGCCTAATGTGGTGTCACCGCGGCTCAGCACGTATTGGGCCAGACAGTATTCTGGTTCCCAGTTCCTTGGATACAGCAGGAAGCATGGATGAGGAGACAATGGAGGCAGCTAGCAGCCAGGATCGGTGTGTTTGTGTGGGGAAAGGGTTCAACATACACAATACAGGCTGCTCTTTTGATTACCTGATGCTATCATCTGCCCATTGTGTTTGCAAAAGATGTAAACCAAATTAGTGGGCTGTACTAGCTGTGTGATAAAGAGCAGAGAAAAAGACTTGGAATGGAATGGTGGCAAACTGTTTACTCCAATATGGCAAAAAAAAAAATAACATGCCAAATAACAGCATGGCTAAAGGAAATATACAAATAAAATGTAATGTAGAACAAATAATGTAGAACCTCAAATATCAAAACATACTTCAAAATGTACTTTTAGACCAGAAAAACATTTCCCATATTAAATTACATTTTGGAAAAAAATATATTTTGTACAAATAAATATATATACACTCACCTAAAGGATTATTAGGAACACAATATTAATACTGTGTTTGACCCCCCTTTCGCCGTCAGAACTGCCTTAATTCTACGTGGCATTGATTCAACAAGGTGCTGAAAGCATTCTTTAGAAATGTTGGCCCATATTTATAGGATAGCATCTTGCAGTTGATGGAGATTTGTGGGATGCACATCCAGGGCACGAAGCTCCCGTTCCACCACATCCCAAAGATGCTCTATTGGGTTCAGATCTGGTGACTGTGGGGGCCATTTTAGTACAGTGAACTCATTGTCATGTTCAAGAAACCAATTTGAAATGATTCAAGCTTTGTGACATGGTGCATTATCCTGCTGGAAGTAGCCATCAGAGGATGGGTACATGGTGGCCATAAAGGGATGGACATGGTCAGAAACAATGCTCAGGTAGGCCGTGGCATTTAAACGATGCCCAATTGGCACTAAGGGGCCTAAAGTGTGCCAAGAAAACATCCCCCACACCATTACACCACCACCACCAGCCTGCACAGTGGTATCAAGGTGATGGATCCATGTTCTCATTCTGTTTACGCCAAATTATGACTCTACCATCTGAATGTCTCAACAGAAATCGAGACTCATCAGACCAGGCAACATTTTTCCAGTCTTCAACTGTCCAATTTTGGTGAGCTCTTGCAAATTGTAGCCTCTTTTTCCCATTTGTAGTGGAGATGAGTGGTACCCGGTGGGGTCTTCTGCTGTTGTAGCCCATCCGCCTCAAGGTTGTGCGTGTTGTGGCTTCACAAATGCTTTGCTGCATACCTCGGTTGTAACGAGTGGTTATTTCAGTCAAAGTTGCTCTTCTATCAGCTTGAATCAGTCGGCCCATTCTCCTCTGACCTCTAGCATCAACAAGGCATTTTCGCCCACAGGACTGCCGCATACTGGATGTTTTTCCCTTTTCACACCATTCTTTGTAAACCCTAGAAATGGTTGTGCGTTAGTCCCAGTAATCCCAGTAACTGAGCAGATTGTGAAATACTCAGACCGGCCCGTCTGGCACCAACAACCATGCCACGCTCAAAATTGCTTAAATCACCTTTCTTTCCCATTCTGACATTCAGTTTGGAGTTCAGGAGATTGTCTTGACCAGGACCACACCCCTAAATGCATTGAAGCAACTGCCATGTGATTGGTTGATTAGATAATTGCATTAATGAGAAATTGAACAGGTGTTCCTAATAATCCTTTAGGTGAGTGTACATATATAACAAAAACATATCGAAAATATGTTTATGTAAATATATTACTACTCAATGCATGCATTACTATACAAAAAATACTAGACGAAAATACTTACAATGTAAATGGGAGGTCAAGTAAAGCACACTGCATTGTGGGATACATATTCCACACACTGTAAAAAGTGATCAGTTGACTTAAAAAATTTGAGGAAACCCGCTGCCTTAAAATTGTCAAGAAAACTACATGTGTAATTGAAAAAATAAAGTTATGTTAACTTGACATGCATAACTTATTTTTTTTCAATTACGCATGCCGTTTATTTACTTATTAATTTTATGGCGACGGGTTTCCTCACTTTTTTTTAAGTTAAGTGAACTGATCACTTTTTACAGTGCACTCCACTGTCATCTGGATATTCCATGCATGTAGAAAACTTAGAGACTGCAAAAATGAGTAAAAATAAGAAATGAGAGTAAGAGTTAAATTGTAGTGTGCTACTCTAAACAGCTCTCTCTCTCTCTCTCTCTCTCTCTCTCTCTCTCTCTCTCTCTCTCTCTCTCTCTCTCTCTCTCTCTCTCTCTCTCTCTCTCTCTCTCTCTCTCTCTCTCTCTCACGCGCGGGTTGTTGTATTGTGTACCCTCTTCCTCTGCCATGTCATTCCCAATAGACAAGACTAAATTTAGGTTCTATACATGTGAATAATACATGCAGGGTTTCTAAAGAGGTGCTAAATAATTGAGGAAGCGTCTGGGAGCAAAGGATTGATCTCGATGCAAGTGTCTTAAAGTTGAACCTCACATATAAGCTTGCTCATTCTTCCTCGCCTGCAGTTTCGATTAACGAGTTTTAATGTTTAATATGTTTATCTTCAAAGCATGGAGCAACTCGATTCACTTCTCATTGAA